GGTTGCGGGCGGCGCGGCGCGGGGAGGGGAGACCGCGGAGCACCGCCCGCAGCCGGGCCCGGCCCCGAGGGGCGGAGCTGCCTCCGCCCGGGGAGCGGGACAGGCGGCGCTCCGGGGGGTACCGGGACTGCGATGTTTCCCTCCGCGCAGCATCTTCGGTTAAGTCCCTGATGCAGCTCCGTCGCCGGTCTCTGTACCGAGGCCTTTCCCGAGCAGGGACCTCGCTCCGGCTGCCCCGGGGCCCGCGCAATGAAAGGGCACCGGGCAACAGGTGGCTGCGATGTGATTTGCGTTGTAGCCCTCAGCAGGGCAGACAGTGCAGGAACAGGTCTCCCAAGGAAAGCAAGGCAACGCCTGTTAATGCTGCAGAGTGGTTTTACCATAACGGATTCCACCACCCACCATTAATCTTTCATAACTGGTTCCTGTACGGTGAATGGTTCCCATTGCAGCAATACAACATCAGCCAGAGGAAACACCCATTTCTTCACTGGGTCACAGTATGGGGCTTGGGCACCTATAGAAACACCTATAAGCACAGGTGTAGGACACAGGTCGAGCTGTGTGCGCCACTAACACCAGTCTGGTTCTGGAGCCTCAGGAAGATTTATTTTCCCCTACAGCTACAAAGTCAGCATGTGGATACCACAGGGAGTTTCTTTCTCTAGTATTTATATTACTACAAATTAAAGGCCATGGCTGTACAGACAATCCATATCTTGGTTCCAAAGTCTGCATCCATATGCAAACAGGTATGTTTACTTATTACATATTATTGTAAGGGTCTGAGTTAATTAGAAAATGCCCATTTTTTACACACACACACAATGTACATAAATACATTGTAGAATGCATGCATCAGGTAGTCATAGTATATATGATTAAAAAACCCTACATAATACTTCCCAAGCATGAATCATAGTTACCAAAATTTTTTTTTCCAGCTTTACTCAGACTGCAAAATCCAGCTGTTACCACCCCTGGAACAATTGCTTTATATGTAATGCCCGAAGTCAGGCACCAGATAGTAACATATGGCATTTCCAAGTCAAATAAACCACATTTGTGTTACAAGACAAAACCCCCAGACAGACAGATAGGAAGTTCTTAGTGGTAAATGACTGCTGCAATGACTCATTCAGAGTCATCATCTCACACAACCCCTCATATCCTCTCTTCCTAGGAATTACACATCCCATTCTACAAACTAAAAACGATACACATCCTCTCATTGCATGTACTTCACTTCTCAGTATTAGCACACAGCAGTGGAGAGGAAGCCCTGTGCTATTATAAACCCACAGACTCACTGTTTAATCTCAGGAAGAAACTGCAAAGTAGTAGTTTACATCAGTACCTGTTTAGGTACCTGTTTTTTTAAAAAAAACCCACCACTACTACACAAAAATGTGTAAGTTCTTCCTGTGGGAAGGGGAAGGAGTAGGCTGCTACACAAATTCATGGGAAGCTCACTCAGTACTGACCGTCTTCAGCCACATTTCATCCTTTCTTTCCACTTTTATGGCCAGTCCCAACTGCTGTCTATCCCTTAGCAAGAGCCTGCCAGACTACTGTTCGAGCACTATATTTTTGAAACTGGTACGGTTAAACGCAGGAAGAATATCCTTATAAATACCTATTATGTAATTATAGTTGTATTTCTATACTGAAATAGGTTATTTCCCTCAAATTCCAGTTACAGTGGAACATGCCCCCTTACATTAGCGGAAATACTTCTGCTCTGAGAGGTTGTACCATTTAACTCTTTTGACAAAGAGTCTTAACTGATAGTTAAACCAGAACAAAACTGTGCATAGACCAGGCAACACACATTCCCGCGTTCCCTCTAACGAACATGTATTGTCTGGACTGCTAAGTCTTCATCATCCTCAGGAAAATCAGGGAAGAGCAATACAAATTCTTGTTAGCACCCTCTTTACAGGCACCAGCAACATTCCCCTGTGTTGCTACCTTTCACTCTACGGCACAGCAGGAGACAGACAACTTCCCAGGCCACGGAAGATGAGAGCACAATGTCTACCCAGTTCTTAAGATACTGTACAGACTTGAATTCTGTTAACTTGACTGTTTGAAACATTCACCAATTACTAGTAAAAGTACCAGGAATGAGAAAAGCAAAGTAATAAACACCGCAGGGAAGAAATTGCTATTATTTTTATTTTTAAAAAGTATAAAAATCCTGTACATTTGTCAAAAGCTGTTAAAATCAGTCATAGGAAACTGCTGGGCTACTCCGTCTCCTTTCTGAAAGATTCAGAGACATTAGGCAGTTGAACAGTTTGTCACTAATCCGACTAAACACACTGGCCTTGAAATGTAATATTAAATGCCAATTGAAGTACTCTGGTCCATCTTAGTCGAAACAAAAATCAAAAGAATTTTTCTCCTCTGCTTTTAACAGTTCAAATATGCAAGCTTTTTTATAGTTCGGTAGTTCAGTAAAATATCTCATGGTTTAAATGCTATAGAAGTGCATGAAATTTCTATACACTTTTCCTACAAATAAGCACGTACAAGGAAGCAGTCTTAATTTATGAGTTCTTAACATTCAAAATATAATATGATTTTAGGTTTTCCGTATCAGCATATCCTTGCATGTCAGACAACATACCAATGTCTTTTTTTCAGGCAAAAACAGTGCTAAAACCAATGTAGTTGTTGAAGAACGTTACAGCCACCGTTCATACACCTCACTTGCCAACAACCCAAGCAGAGCAAAAAATAAACAACCAGTTATACTTATCAGAAATATCAACTATCCTCGGCCAGAATCTCAGGATATTCCTCCCAGAACTGGTCCCCAATAATGTCACAGTGCAGGGGAACAACTTTAGTCCTAGTCCGGGTCACTTCAACTTCCTTTTCTTCTGTTTCCTTCGGCAGTTTTATTTTCTTAGTCATGACTTCATTAATCTGAAAATGCAGTTGACACATTAGCAGACGTAAAAGACTCCAGAGGGGATTCACAAATGGACAACAAACAAAGCCACAACAAAAGCAACTATGAACCCTACAGCATACTACAGAATTTGAACACTAACTCTTTTGAAAGAAAGTCTATTCTCAGTTCAAAGACTAACACATGAGCAGTTGAAACTGCATGCCATCATCACATGGCTTGAAGTTAGCTGTGAATTCACATAACCGACTGCAAGAATTCCTGAATAAAATACGATACTTAATTTGGAGCTATATGGAAAAAAATGTGAAATCTTGCAAATGACTACAATTACCAAGAAAAAAAGTATGTAAAAGGAAGAAGTAGAATATATTTCCAGGTGGGAGCCTCTATCTGTTCTAAGTAGTTCTATTATTTCATTTGAAGTAACTGGCCAAAATAAAGAAAAAAAAAAAAAAAAAGGATTATCAGTTTTTTACATATAGAAGTTGAAAGGCTGAACAAGTTACAGAGAACGCTCAGCATAGACTGATCAGGCCCTGATCACATGAAACAGGTATTTCCAACTAAGATCTACTACAGTACAATAAGGCCATAAACATTTATTATTTTCTGGGGTCTCATCTCATACAAAACACAGGACAGGAATTTTTAAAACTAATTCTGCATCAATGATGTAATCTGAGAATGATGAAAATTTCAAAGTTAACATTAAAAGGAATTCCCCGTTAACAGCTGTACTCCTTACTACATTCCTTTACAGAAGTAGAAAAGGACAAAGCATACTATGAGCCAAGCTAACTTACTGAACAACAGTTTGTAATTCCTTTGCAGTGGAAATACTCGGAATCTAACCCTGCGAAGGGCCTGGCACATGCCCCGGTGGTTACCATATCAAACCAACAACAGTCATTAAAATGTAATTTTTCAGGAAGCAGAATACTTCCTCAATTTTCAAAGCTGGTAACACTAAGGAACCAACTGTATGATTCATTAAACGAGGGAAATTTATCTAGAATACACATCAGTCTTGTGAAATTCTACACATAAAATGTATCTCAACAGATGACAATGTATCTCAACAGTCATGATTTGTACTTAAGCTAGACTTCAGGGACTAATTTTTACACTATGCTCATAGATAAAAATATTTGAAAAACACCTCCAAAAAAATTAGTCATCTTACACATCGTTATGCGGCAGATATGGTTAGTTTTAAAATATATTTTATACGTATAGACATACATTTGGGATACGTCTGGTGATCTCAAAGCGTAGCTAGTCTGCCATAGCATAGCTGTTTAAAACACAAGTATGAAGCAAGTGGTAATATAGTTTTTTACCTTCTGCCATATTAAGACAGTTCCTTTTCTATACATCAAAGGTTCATTGTTGTAGTTGATGTTGAATTCAGAAAATAAGATTTCATTCTTATCTCCAGCCAAAGTTCCCTGAGAGGAAATGAGAAGAAAAAGTACTCTTACAGAAAACACACAAACTGAATCTCCAGGGTAAGACCTGGGTGAATATTGCAAGTAAGACTGACATTTATACAGGATTTTTGCCTTTAATTTACAAGGTTTAATTATCTCTCCCAACAAAGGAATTATTTCCAACTGCCAAATCAGGATATTAAAACAGAGAGGTTTTTAATTACGTTTTCAAGACGAATTGAAGAAAGTCAACAGACTCCAAAAGAAAACAGAAATAATCTGCTGAAGTCTGCACAATGAGACAAAATACTGCAGAAGGGACTGGGAATCAATAGTAGTTGAATCCTGCCACTGTACTTCGTGCTTATGGATACTGGATGTTTATATGACATTTTAAAGATTTCTGAACATGCTAACTAAGAAATTAAAATCCTGCTAATTTTTGACAAAAAATACATTATTTGCTAATCATATTAACATCTGTACAATTTAAGAAGTTGTTGAATCCACACCTGCAAAATTATTGTAGTAAGAACAGACAAGCCAGCTAGGGCTGCTAGGTAGGCTTAGCAAATCTTACGATTTTCTTTGTAGCTAGAAAAAAAAAAAACCGACCTTAAGAGAGTCTCACCTGAAGCCTATCCTGTGCTTGCACTGGTGTCAAACCACTTCGCTGTACAAGCATCCAAAACACTGTATTATAAAGATTATTAATATGGCCTATAGAAAAAGAGATAAGAGTGAGAGAAAGGGTATTTAACAAATCTGAGTGACTACTCAGAAAAAAAAACATACAGGAAACATCCAAAAATAAAGGGGAATTAATAACATCAGTCGCTAGAGAAGATGCAATCTTTCTGACTCATTTTTAAGGTACTGCATACCATAAGAATGAGAAGAGGACAGATTTCATTATAAAATACTGACAAGGGAGAGCAGAGGTGAGAGGTGTTTATGTGTAATGTAAATTATCTCCATCTACGTTAATGGAGGTAACATAGATCTAAAAATCTAACATACTAACGAAAGCCTAGAAATTAAATCCAATGGTCGCATGGAATAAGCAGCACTTTTGATTGTACAATTTTGCTACATGGTGTGAATTCAAACATTCACAAATTCAAACATTCATTAAAGAAGATTACTTTGGCTAAACAAGCCTGGAACATAAAAAATAATGAATTAATTCTATTAATAATTCTAATATTTTCTGGGCTGAAGTCACTCCCAGCATGCAACAAATATAGTTGTAGCCTGAAGACTCAGACAGTATTTCCACATCCATACAAAGCCCAAAACAATTCTAATATTGTTTATTTAAAAATACCATCCTACCTGCTGTTCTCTCACTGATACCTATACACACAAATACACTGGCAATAAAGGCATTTCTATTCAGAGAGGAAGAGAACTCAACTGCACAAATCTCCGTTTTCTAGAAACACTTACAATCTGCTTGTCTCCAGCTGAGGTAGTCCTTTAAATTTTGGTTGCTGGGATACAACACAATTCGTCCATCAAATCCTGGTGGGTACAGAAGCTGCTGGTCCTTAAAGTAATCCTTCCAATAGAAAACATAACTTGAGGCAAACTGGGAGACCACATGAGTCATGAACTTACTTGCAAACATGAAGGAAAAGGAAAAAAGAAAGAAATATGTCAATATGATTATATATCTGTGATTATCTGAGGTATGAGGAGCAATAAGTCTGGTGGAGAGCAGCATTTCTTAAATAACGGCCCAATATATCAGCTATGCCATAAATTCTTCTGAGGAACAGGAAGTACTGAGAATCAAGTAAAAGAGTTTGGAAAATGAAACATTTTGTTCAAAGAATGTCTGCTCTAACAATGTTTGCTTCTAATGTTTGTTTTATCAGAACTCTTTTAAAAACTCTACCACTGAACGTATTTTCCTAAAAGATCACACGCAGAGTTCACACAAAGAACCTGAACTAATTGTAGTGTATACACCCAAACACAGCCCTGCTCCCAACCTCTGGGTGTAGCTAAGGGCAGATCTCAAGAATTACAGGTTTAGAGAAAGATGTTAAAAACAAGTTCACTTATGTATCAAAGCAGCTCTTACCTTGCTCTTCTTTTAAACCATCTACTCTTCTTTTTGAAAACAAAACTATATTCATCACTCTGTCCATAAGCAATAGCAATATCCTCCAATTCTTGCATCACTGTCTGGGCACACTTGGTCATCAGATGAAGAGCACGGTCATCATTTGGCTTTTTGAACTCATGCTGCTCAGAAAACCTTCAAGGCAAAAACGGTTGAATAAGAATCCCTTAAAAAGCCACTAAAAATGCCAACTCATTCATTTTCCCCATAGTTGCTTTCTATGATTATTGATTTCAGGTATACTGTCCATACTGACACAGAATTCCCTCCAGGTGTGAAAAACAGTAACAAAAATATTTTTATACATTCTGGATAACCCATTCTCTTTCTCATTTATATCCCACTCTAAGCAGTCCTTCAAAATGACTGTTTTCCCTATTTTTCTTGGAATAAGAGGCTAACAAATACTATTTTCTGTAAATTCACTTTCTCCTAGCGTGTCTTCTGGTCCAACAATGGCAACATTATCAGTAGACCTGTCAAAACACAAGAGCTTTACAAGAACCCCATGTGACTAAACCCGAGATCAAATCCCCAGGAAGAACACATCACCTACCACTCGAGAGAACTGTGCTCTATTTATCCTAAAGAAAGGCGAATGCCACGCAGACACTGACTCCCAAAACAAATAAATATCGCCGTATACCAGTTGCTGTCCCTCTCCCAGCACACCCAAGGCACTGGTATACTATTTCCCTACCGCCCTGCCAAGGGCACAGTTCTGAAGTTGCCCATGGCCCTTGAAGACAAACCCCCGCAGTAACTCCGTGCCCTAGAGAGGCCTAGTAAAGGGTTCATGGGGATTTCGGGGGAAAGGAGTCTTTGTAACCCCTGCACCTGCTGGATTCACGCAGCTCGGGCAGGCAATAGCCAAGGCCAACCGCAGGGCACCAGTCAGGATCCCTCCTCTCGGCTCAGCACTCAGAGCCCACACCTCCAGCGCCTTGAGGCCGAGCAAACCCCGAAGTACCCCTCCCGCCGTACCACAGCCCCTACCCTCCCGCCCGCTGAGGCGTCGCCATAGCGACCGCACCGCTACAAGCGCCCCGGCCATTGGCTGCC